TAAAAAATTCTGAACGCATAAACGTTGAAAAAAAAATACAATTCTATATTTAAAAAATAGAAACGTAAGGGATGCGTACCGACGTGAAAATATTTGTATTCATACCGCTATCCAGCCGTAAAATATTTAGAATATATAATGATACCCTCTCTTAGACCCTAAAGGATTACACCGCAATATTATGCTGTTTGAATAAATAATTATTATTTTTATTACATCCTAATTAAAGCTGTATAGAAACAACGTCAAAGCTGTTTAAAAAAAATGTAATCTAGTCTATTATTTCCAACTAAAATTCCCACGATGTTCTGCAAAACTAATGAAACTAAAGATAACAATAAAACGAAATTGAGGTACGAAAACAGTAATCTGCTATAAAAACTATTGCAAATTACATCGTCTTATATATACGGTAAGAATTATAATACGTCGGGCGACCAAATTCAAACACAGTTCCCACTCATTTAGACTGTCAACTGACCCGTGACCGGTTACATTCTATAGTTGTTACGTTTTTTCATTGTTGCAAAGTCTCGGAATTACTTCATAATGCTATGCCATAATAATATGGGTAGAGTCACTTTCATTGCTAGGTAAACAGGTCAGAAACCTTTCTGTGTACAATTTTATTTAATCTTTGTCAGATAAGTGCGTACCTAAACGTTCGATGAAAGCGTTCGAATTTCAAACAAGTGGGATGGGTCATACAAAACCAATATGAACCAGGGAATAATCTCTCTCAACTAAAAAAATATCAGACAGACTGTATGTATTTTGCCACCATTGTAATATTAAAGAAGATCATGTACCATACACACAAACAAGTGAACTTGTCAAGATGATAAAAACTGGACTGTAAAATATGTATTTTGTATGTTACTATTTTTATATAGCCTCCACAATAAAGATTTATCATTTATATATAATAAATTTATTCCCGTCAAGACTATTTATTACGTTAAATATCCGGACATACAGGCATACAACAAAAAAATTCACATGAATACCTCATCTTTTTTTTAAATATTTCGTCTAAAATATTTTAGACGTAGAATCATGTAGTACGAAGTAAATTTTAAAGAACACAACGAATATGGGATCAAGAAGGAAAGCAAAAGAAAACATCGGCTAAGTGCGAGTTGGACTCGGGCACCGAGGGTTACAAATTATAATAAAAAAAATACTTACACATTAGTCAGTAGTTCAGTTTTTAAATCAAAATAAATTAAATTGAGTTCTACAAAAAAAAAAACAATTTTAAAAACCAAACTACTGCACTAATTTTGACAAAATTTCTATGATACCAATCTAAAAGTGCATTATTTTACATAAAAAAAATGTAAATCAATTTATAAATGATGGAGTTTTGAGATAACGAACATAAATAAAAACTATATAACCAAATTGAAAACCTCGTTATTTGGAAGTCGGCAAAAAAAATCAATTCGAAATAGGAGACGTAATCACGTAACATTAGAGTCACAAAAAAAAATTAAGACTGATTGAAAAACCATCATTTGGAAAGCGCCTAAACATGGCGTCCGCGCACAGAATTCTAATAACAACATGTAAATATTGTAAAAAACGTTACATTTATTTATATTGCGTTACATACATATATGCACTCTTATTTATTTCCTACGCTACAAATGTACCGGTTAGTTGCGGTATCTCACGCACTACTTAGTTCTAGTACATTGACTTGGCTAAGTGGATTGATAGCACAGCCCGCCGCTACATCGAGCTCTTGGTAACATACATATATAGTTAAATTAATACCATAATTAAACGTTTTTCTTTTTTCACCGAACTAGGTATTATTTTGCGGAAGTCGATATCACTACTTAGTTGATTAGAATTTATTTCGTTTAATTTCACTGCCATTACTATGCATGCAATTGCCAACATTAGAAAATTTAATGCTATTCTTGTTACCAGCTGTTCTATAACTATTCCTTTTTAAAAGGCCGGCACCTGCAATGCCGTAGGTGTTGTGGATGACCATGGGCGGCGGTAGTCACTTACCATCAGGTGAGCCGCATGCCCGTTTACCCCCTGTATTGTAAAAAAAAATAGACAAATCTCCGACCGCCATTCGGTCCACGCATGTTTTGTGGCACACTCAAACTGGGGCGTCAAATGATTATAATGTCTAATATGCTACAAACTATCTACTACCTATTATAATACGTTTTATATTTTTTTTTCTGTGTAATTTTTTACAGAACAGTTAAAATGTCTAATCAAATCTCTAGTCTAAATCCGTTCGGGATAATAGTGTAGTAATCTGTTATGCATTTATCAATTGTAAAAAATGTACGCAAACTTTTTTTTTTAATGGATGATAATGGAATGGTAACCCCGCCTATTGGTATATCAAGCGTTTGTCTATCAAATGTCTTAGTGCCTAGTGAGAAAACTGGTTGAAGAGGCTGTAACATCCTTTGTCAACGCTGAAGAAACACCTTTACTCCTTTTTAACAACCTCGCACCTTAACCTTATTCCTACCAAATATTTTATAGTTAAGCACTTTAATTCTTCGCTTCTCATTCGCACAGACAAAAAATAAAACCTTCTGGTGTCGTTTTTTTCTGACTCCAACAATTTTTCGCCGTTTAAAGCTAGAGCGAGTAGACATTATTGCGTGCTCTATTTTTTTTTTATACAACTTAGAATGGCAAACAAGCTGATGGCCCACCTGATGGAAAGTGGTAACCGTCACCGATAGACATGAGCAGTACCATAGACATAACGGAGTATACTGTTTCGCTCATGATACCCCCCATGCGTTGCCATTCCTGAGGACTCAGGTGTTATTCCTCTGTACATAAATAATAAATAGTAAATTCACGCCATATCCCACCCTTCAAACCGAAACACAGCCATGCAAACACAACTGCTTCACGGTTGAAACACGAATGGGACAGAGGTACCCAAGCAATCGACTTTTGTACAAAGTCTCCCTCTGGTATCTATCTTGGAGCACATCATTACTTAATGCCAGAACTGTAATTAAGAATATAGCAAAACGTGCTTAAATTTCTCACTAAAAAAAATTACAGGATACTCCACGCTAGTAACTATATTTGTCGTAATTACTAATCTAAATGAGACGTAAAAATTCAGAGACGAAATAATAATGCCACTTTCTCTACCCTTTAAGCATTATAGTGAATCTCTTCGTACTATGTACAATATGGTAATATACGCCACCTGGTGACAAACATTAGTTTTATAAATATTTACAAAAAATTATTACGCAGGTAATATAGTATTAGTAAACAAGAAAATAGATTTAGATAGGTCGTTTAACAATTTAATGACAATATCCAATACAAGGAAAAGAAATAACAATTAATTTATTAACAGTGTAACACCTGTATGACGTTATAGACTGTTCTAAAGCAATATTCACACCACCACAAAATACAAATAGTAATTAAATTATTTTTACTAATAGATCAGAATAAAAAACCCACTGTACTTTATAATAAGGTCCGTTTTGTATAACCCGCCGATCATGTTGAGGACGTAAATATTAAAGGAACTATTACAATTTCATTCATTTTTCTGTTAAAGAGTTCTGCGACTGATCACGATCTCACCTGATCGATAGAGATGATATGGTCTAAAACGAAGCTCGTATCGTCTCATCGACGGTTTATAAAATGAATCCTATTATGATGCGTGTAAAACGATTCTTTTACACCCCATCTCCTTAATAAAAACAGTTCTACCCGCAAAGTTTAAATGTATACATGTTTTATCAAATGTATAATGACGTTTAAGGTACTAAACACATACATATATGGTATAGCAACAGCTGAGGCGGCTCCTATTACCAGCAACATTTTCTTTTTTCTTTTTGTTGTTCTAATTTTTTATTTTCTTAACAATGGTAATAAAGGTCATCTATCTATCTAAATAGCCCAATATATTCAAAATTATCCAATTTAAATTACAAAATTTTGCTCTCGATTTCGTTAACAAAACCTGGATTTATAATAATCAATTGAAGTAAGTCTACAGAGCTAGCGTACACGGATATGCTCTGTCCTATATAATAGGTATTATATAGGATATGTTAGATTTTTTTAACCATTGAGCGACTATATAAAGAGGTAAAAAACAAAAACAATCAACAAACAACCAGAGGGAGACTGTACAAAAGTCGTTTACTTGAGTACCTCTGTCCCATTCGTGTTTCAACCGTAAAGCAGTTGCGTTTGTATGGCTGTGTTTCGGTTTGAAGGATGGGATATGGCGTGAATTTACAGGGTACAGAGGAATAACAACTGAGTCCTCAGGAATGGCAACGCATGTTGGGTATCACGGGCGAAACAGTATACTCTGTTATGTCCATGGTACTGCTCATGTCTATAGGCGACGGTTACCACTTTCCATCAGGTGGGCCGTCAGCTTGTTTGCCATTCTAAGTTGTATAAAAAAATAATCAAACTGACCTTCATATTTATAATATTAGATATTGGGAAAGATAGTAGGATCATCTATGGTCATCCGTCACCGTCATATTAATTTAAATTTAAAACAGGGTATCGCACCTACATCAACATGGTCATATCGCTCTGTCTGCGACGGACACACGTTTAAATTTTTACATGCATGACTTTCACGGACGAGGGTCGAAATGGTTGAATGCAGAATGTGCGTGGGTGGGACCTTTGCGGAGTGCGAGGTGCCGATAGCAGGTGATTGATAGAAGCGCTTTTTCTCTTCAACCGTGAAGCGGCGATTGATTGTCGATGTCGTACTGTAAAAATACAAACCGTTCATCTTGTACGCGATGTTATGGATGACCGGAATTTATAGTCGACTTCAAATTGTATGGAACGATGAGTTTTTTAGACAGAATGACACTAACCAAGTAAGTATTTCATCAATGTACATAAAAAATATTACTTTTATTTTATACGTGCACATTTAAACTATATAGATACGTGCCTTAGGTTGTGATATATTATTGTAAGAACATTAATCAAGTTCATTTAATGAATTACTTTGGAGAAAACAACATTCAGTTGGAAGTGATAGCTTCTGTGAACAAGATGTTTGTTCGTTTCCGCATTATCGTCGAATTTATATTACTTTCATTAACTATGGCAAACGGCGCACGTATACTGGCTGTGTTCTCAAACCCATCGTACAGTCACCACCAAGTTTTTAACTGTTTAGTGGACGCTTATTTGGAACAAGGACATCAAGTTGTAGTCATCACCGCGTATCCTGTATATCCCAAGGGACAAGTGCCGAGAAATCTCACACAGATCGATATAAAAGAAATATCACTAAAAATATGGGATGAAGAAATATCGAAACCAATAGCAAACAAGGAGAATAATATTGTTACATTATGCACTTATTCTTTGACGTCATTCGTAAAAATAGTAAAAAAACAATTTGAAATAGAGGAAGTGAAAGCAATTATTGAAAATAAAAATATCACATATGATTTGATAGTAACAGAATCGTTAATGAAAACGAACTTAATGATATCCCATTTCCACAAAGCACCTGTGTTAGAAATCAATTCGTTTGGGCCAGTGTATAGGGACATGGAAAATTTTGGAGCTCCGGAACAACCTCTCCTGTATCCTAACTGTATGCGAAAAAGATTAATTAATCTTACATTATTCGAAGAAATATCAGAATTACATGTTGATCTTAGTTTACAAAGATTAATCTACAACGTGCTATACTTAGGTTCAAACAACGCCATGAAAAATACGCCCGAGTTCAATTCAGTACCCGCCATGGAGATTTTGCAAAACAATGCTCAAATGTTATATTTGAACACACATCCTATTTGGGATGGCATCCGTCCAGTACCGCTTTCCGTAGTTTATATTTATGGGATACATAAAAAACCATACGAAGAACTACCCAAAGTGAGTATTATTATTACGAATTAAGCGTTACAAGTTCAAAGAACATATAAGCTTAAGATTTACCAAACATTTAAAAAATAATGCTTACCAAAATGTATATTGGGTGTATGGAATGTATGGAACATTGCAAAATCTATATCAGTGTTTCCCATCCTTTTTTGTGTCATGCCCTACTTGAACATTTCTAAAATTTTTATGCTCCCATACATAATTTTTCCCGACAAAGTTTACTTGACGACTCTAATCGCCCAGTTGATGTTTTAGTAATGTCAAACGAAATTATAGCTAATAAATATTTACAGCCTTTTTTTACTTACTTTTTTTGTTAAATTTGGCACCGATATCTATTCGTAGCATTGCATTTAAATGGCTCGGAGGAAAAGTGTTAAAATCGCTTCGAGTCCATTTTTTAATTGTCCCCCCTAACTATCAAATTGCCCCCCTGTGGGGCGTGGGCTCTACGTTGGGAAACACCGATATATATTCTTACTTTTCTCAAAAAAAAGAGACTTCTTGATTGACTATTTGTACAGTAAATATATTTCGTGAAAAATGAGTATTAAAAATGGTGTTTGAGAATTTTTTTATTATTTTTCTAAAAATATAAAATGTAAGATGATATCGTAAACACCAACAATTAATAATTTAACAATTTTAACCAACAGTTAAGAAATAGGTAGTTAGATATATGCAACAATAATTTTAATAATAATGTATATTTATTTAATCTGACTACTTCTTTATTTTAGAATATTTCGTCGTACTTAGAAGCTTCAGTCAACGGCGTGGTTTACGTATCATTCGGTACAACAGCAGATCTAAGCTTGTACTCGGCTAAAATACAAGTATTACTCAATGCGTTTTCGAAACTGCCGTATGATATCCTTTTCAAGTGGCCTAAAGACGAACTGCCAGGAAAGCCTGATAATGTTAAGATAGCTAAATGGTTTCCGCAAGCTGATCTTTTGAGTAAGTTTTCTCGTACGGTATATTTTTGAAAGAAATATCTTAAAATACTTAACAAATATTATAAATGAACTGTTACAGAACACCCCAAAGTAAAAGTGTTTATAACACAAGGAGGTATACAATCAACGGATGAAGCTATCGATGCCGGTGTGCCTCTAATTGGGATACCTTTAATTTGGGATCAGTGGGCGAGCACTGAAAGATATATGCGACATGGAATAGGAATAAAACTTGAAATGAATACTATTACAGAGGAACTGATAATTAACGCAGTGACTACTATAATTAGTGACAGTAGGTTGGTACAAACGAGTTCAGTATATATGTAAATTCTTGCGGACATGCTTATATATAATAATCAATCAAAACTTCACTCATTTCAGCTACCGCCGGAACATAGTGAGACTACGTGCGCTGCTGTGGGACGCACCTCAACAACCGCTGGAACGAGCCCTCTGGTGGACGCGTTACATGCTGCGCCACGGTGGAGCAAGCCATTTGCGCGCGCCCGCCGCCAACATGTCCTACGCGGAATTCTTCGAAGTGGAGCTGTTTTTAATACTATTTGCTTCTAGTACTACATTAATTCTCTGTACTATATTTATTTGTATGAAATATTTAATACCAACTTTTAATTTCGGCCTTGACTGGTTGAAATGCAAATATATACACGTTAAATATAATATATAAAAACAGAAGCCGTTTTACTTATCAGTTTATAACAATTTACCAAAATAATGAAAAGACTACATTACTTAGTCAAGATCCTTAAAATTTTACATATACTTTCTAAAATATGCGACTGAAACCTCTGAAATATATGTACTAGTCCGTTCATATTCGTATTATACCCTCAGGGAGAGTCTAATTCGGCGGATTATGCATAACAAATCCTATTATAATACGTGAAATGTAGCTTTCTATCCCCAGCTAATCTTTCCAGCTGAGACCGCTTGATTTAGACTAACTAGTTTATTTACCTACTAAACCTTTTTCCAGAGCGTCCTGGTCTTCTCTTGCCACCTGTTTACCACTTAAAACTTAGAAATATTGACAAATGGATATCAGTTTCGCGTGGGCGGAACCGCGAAATTTCCTTCTATCATTGTATTAATCAACTATCCGAGTACGTAACAGTTTAGTGCGTGCAATTAGTGTATACAAATTGCTTTACCCACACTGGTAGTGCAATCACCGCCGAGAGTACGCCCATGTGAACACATGTAATGTGTCTTCGATCGTGTTGGATAGGTACGCGTACGGTCAGGGCTTCCAATCAAATCAAATGGTTTCACCGAGATTAAAAGCTTCGACCTATTTTGTATAACGCCCGGTTTAATTTAGACTATAAAAGTAAGAACAGGAAACAGAACTGAAGCCAACACAGATAGATATAGTCCAACAAACTTCATGTGCTTTTAACAAAAAAATGAATTTGAAATTCCTATATGAAACATAATATAGACTTGTAAAAAGGTTTAAAAGTTTCACAAAAATTGGATTACAGAGAGTATTTGCAAATGGTTTGGTACGAAAGATGATTACATACTAGTGTCAATTTTTGGCTTTAGTTTTTGATTTCACATAGTATAATTTGGAAAATGTTTGATCATTGACAAAAACAGGATTACAGATGGTATTTTAAAAAAGATTTGGTACGAAAATTGATTAGATACTCGTAATACTTTAAATTTTTGGCCCTAATTTTTAATTCGACAGAGCATAAATTGGAAAAATTTAAGAATTTACAAACACAGGATTACAGACAGATTTCAAAATGGTTTGGTACGAAAGTTGATTAGATACTAGTATCAAATTTAGGCCTTAGTTTTTGACTCGATAGAGAATGATTGACACCAACAACATTTTAATTCAGAGGAGGTTTTACTATCGATAAAATAAATAAATTTGTTATGTCTACACTCCATACGATACAGCGTGATACCGTGATATTTCAATAAATTAGCCTGGATGTAAAATCTCAAACTGACCAGGTGATAACCCTAGACATTAGCTTTAACTGCTAGAACAGTCCAGTAGTATTCACTAATTGGTATACACTATTAAAAGTATGAATAAAATTTATGCGAAATTTTCTTTCAAGTTAGGTTTAGTTATACGCAAGTAAATGAAGTTTCCATGATTTGTACTTATAATAAAAAAAGTCTTTTTTATGAAACAAATTCAAGGAAAGAGCATATTCCTTTTTAAAAGGCCGGTAACACATGCAATGCCTCTGATATTGCGGGTGATCACGGGCGGCGGTAGTCACTTACCATCATGTCAGCCGCATGTTACAAAAAAAGAACTTTAAAGGACAAACATGCCGACCACTCAGCTGAAAGTTGTAACGATTACCTACATCTTAGACATGAACATCACAAAACATAATGTAGTACCTTGGTATGCGTGCATTGCCATTCGCAAGGACTAAGCTCTTCACCTCCGTATCTTGTAATTTCATTGCCAAATGTTAACTTTAAGCTTAAACACAACCACTGCAAATAGCCGGCAGCAATAATAGGATTATGGTAACGAAGCAGCTCAGTGTTCGAACTAGTTGAAGTTGCTTATATGAAACCTTTTTATTTGGGGGGAAAGGGGTTGTTAGTAACGGGGATTAGTAACCCCATTTACTAGCAATATACCCTATCAAGTCCACTTCTTCGTGGTTCCCCCTGGAAACCATCGTGATTGATTCATTAGTGAATTTGTCACGACAGGCTAATTGATCTGCTTCATCTTCGCTTATCATCCCTCACTGGTGCCCTGCCCGTGTAGACCGACAACGCAGATGGGGTAACCATTTCATTCTCTATTCATTTAAGGGTTTTCTCTTGTCATATCTTTGACCTCCCTATATGACATGACTCTTAGTATTTCCATTATCTGTCCCATATGTTTCCTCGTTCTTTCCATTCCTCTTTTGCCCTCTATTTTTCTTCTACTATGCTTTTTTAAAAAGTGTCAGGTGGCCCAGTATTTTGCCTTTTCTATTCTCTATTCCAACCTAACCATTTCGTCTACCATCCATTAAAAAAAAGCTAGATTGTTTATTGATACCAAATTTGCTACTCGTATACTCATGAAATTAAATTAAATTAAATATTTAATTACATGTACACGTAAACGTAGTTATTCAATTTATACCTATTTACATATTTTTAATTAAATATGTACATGCATATATTTATATGCACGTTGTATTCTGCATGGGTGCCTTTATCCCACTCGAGTTTCCGCAGCAAAGTAGCTGTACTTGCATGGCTGTATTTTAATTTAAAAAGTGCAATATGGCAGTGAAATTACAGAGCACAGAGACATAGAAATAACATTTTAATACTCGGGAAGAATACTGCGTGAACATGTGCATCATAGCGTACACTGTGAGATTTTAAATTTCACACTTTCGCATTGCGTGGTTTACGATTCATGAGAGACGGGAATTACAAGTACGCGATCATTTAGGTAAACTATGATTACTTGAGTTATTTCGATGTTTCAACCAAAGAGACTGGGGGGAAAGAGATTGTTAGTAATGGAGACTGAGAATCCCATTGCTAGCAATATACCCAACCAGGTCGACCTCTTCGCGGTTCCACCTGGAAACTATCATGGTTAATTCCTGATGAATTCATCATGATGGGCTAACTGGCCTGTTTTCATTCTCATCTATCACCCATCACTGGTGCTCCGCCAGCGTATCCCGTTAGCGCAGGCGGGGTTACCATACCATTTTCACCCATAAAAAAAAACCAAAGAGACTACCATGATATGTTTTCCGAAATTTCGAGGCCAAACGAAAGACAAATTTGATGTTACAATTACATAAAACATACTATTTGAAAACATTAAAAATGTTAATATATCGTTCTTTTAGACTTTTCTAGTAGGATTTATGACGAATCAAATGTTAAGTTCCATTTACTGGGTCAATTTCGGTATTAACAAATACACGAATTTAAAAAATTCTGAATTTCATTTCAAGTTAGACCCCTAGATTACAACTCGTCTACGACATTAAATTTACTCAAAATAATTTTATGAAATATTGCTTAACAAATTCAAAAACTTTGTTATAATTTTTTATATACATAATAATTATTTTGTTACAAAGTAGTTCGAGGGATACAATCCAATACTAATCTCTCTGGATTACGTGCATTACGTGGATACATATCCATAGCTTTTGAAAAGATGTCACGATGTTGTTTAACATGAATACAAACCTGAAATATAGGGGGGAAAGGGATTATTAGCAATGGAGTTCGACATTGCTAGCAATCAGGTCGACCTCCAGAATTCGTCACGATGGACTAACTGACCTGCTTCATCCTCATTGATCATCCCTAATTGGTGCCCCGCCGGTGTATACCAATAACGCGGGTGGGGTTACCATTCCATTATCACCCATTAAACAAAAAAAAACCTCAAATATATAAATTGATGGCATAGTTAATAATCCAAATTACAGAAACAGTTTCAGATAGGCCGTTAGTTTAATTGCCATTCCGAATTCCATAAAAAAAAATTGCAACTTGTGGCTATTTCTGGCATCGCATCAATTTGATTAATATACGAACAATATTAATTGAAAATCGAAAGGTATTGATAACTCAAACCGCAATGGTCGCTCTGTATTCCGAGTGCTGAGAATACCAGTCGTCATCAATCATAGACTACAATGCGGATGATAGACGGCCTGTCTATGGTTCGGACAGGAATGGAGGGAATTAGCGACACCCACAAACTAAGACTTCAGTTGATCGGATCAATAAATTGTCTGTCCGTGCGTACGAAAAACGAAATACATTGGTGAATTTTATTAAAATTGAATATGAAACAAAAATACGCACAGATTCTGCACGTGTCACTCGACGGTTACCGCCGGGGGGCACATAACATTCAATACGCCTACATAAGGGGGAACTGACAGTTTATTTTCCAAATATCACTGTCCAGAAATAACTTTAATTAAATTTAAATATTATGATAATGTTCGCAACTATTATCGCACATTTTCCGGGCGGTGGCTCCGCTTTCGAACGAGGTTGTTAGCTTAGCTCCGATAGTGAAAACTTTTTGTTGTTACTTCCCACGGAGTGTGACTCCGGCGCCCTGCCAGCGTCACGCACGACTGTACTTTGTATGGTAATTTTCTGGTAATGCTGTTTTTAAAGAAAATTGTTCTTGTTATTATACAAGAAAGGGATGACTATATAACCCCCATTGCGTTTGTAATAGGTGTATTATAGGCAGCACATAAAGAAAGCTTTAAAATTTAAAAGCACGCAGATAGGTACTATATGCGGTTCAGATCCGGATATAGACGTAAGCCATAGCTCGTTGGCAGTGTTTCGCAGTAAGGTACTGAAGACAATGTAGATTTGATGTTATTGCCTAGTCTTGCTTTATATTTGTATTTTGCTGATCTAAAATTATACTATGTAATGAGGGTTGAGCGCTGTTGTCTGAGATACAGGTTTTATAACCTAGTTCAGACACAGATGTTTAGGCTGATCCAAATGTACAAATGAATTCGTACCTACTTTTACTGTAATTTGGATTTTGTAACAAAAAATATGTAATTATAAATTTAATTTATTATATTAATTATATTATGATATTTATATGCATGTAATCTGTAGTCAATGTTGTGTACGCCTGCTATAGGTATGCATAAACAGCAACGCTACACAAAATGTTAAATT